ACTTGAAGAAACCTAACTCAGAAAGAACAGGCCACGGTTTGAGAGTGAAGTTCAATCCATTGGCCCTCCTCCTAGATGCTTCTTTGGAGGGAGAATTTGATCTTGTACAACGAATCATCTATGAGGTGAGCTTCTAAACAATGGCAACCTCTTTAAGTATTGAGAGGGGGGAAAAAGTGCTGAACTATTTTATGTTTTCAATAGGTTGATGATCCCAGTAAACCAAATGATGAAGGAATTACACCTTTGCATAATGCAGTGTGTGCTGGTCATCACCACATTGTGAAGTTCCTGCTTGATTTTGGTGTAAATGTAAATGCAGCAGACAGTGATGGGTGGTAAGTGTCAAGATTTTTAACTGGGCATCTGGGAGAAACACCATTTTGATGCACATTCAAAATTTAGTTGAGACCTCTTCTGGGAACCATTTCCTTGCCCTTCACGCCCAGCAAACAAGCACTTTCTAATCTCTAGGTGGTGATGAACTCAAATGCAAGGTTACACTGTGTTCAACACATGTGCAAACACTTAAATCATAAAGTATACTACATTTTGGGTTTACTTAGTGGTGTAGTTGCATTTCTTGTTCACATGCTGAACTGTAAATAACAACAGACAGAAGTTAATTTGTTTAAGTTTCATCTTCATATAACCCACCACAAATTTTGGTGTTCTTGAAGAATCTAGCCTTAGATGTAGTACTTCGGAAGCATTTGGAGGGGATGTGAAACCTTGCTGTGCTGATCTGTTTCGCCCTCACCTTATTTTACCTTTCAAATTCCCTCATATCGGAAAATACCCTTTTATACCCAGCAGTTTCGTAAGCTATGAAAATCAACATTTTTGCTAATATTTACTTTATAATGTCGGCTTTACTGGAGTCAGGTAAATCCTGGGATCCACTCCAGTTGGTTGACAGGTTTTGGACAATGCATACATATTCTATAATCATAAAGAACAATTTCCTTTAAAAATAGACAGACTTACCTCTATATTGCAAGGTAAAATAGTTAGGAATCCTGGAAGGTTATTCTTTTACGTCTACATTTTTGCTTTATTTCAGGACACCCTTGCATTGTGCTGCTTCTTGCAATAGTGTTCATCTCTGTAAACTACTGGTTGAATCTGGGGCAGCTATCTTTGCTTCAACTATAAGTGATATAGAAACTGCTGCAGACAAGTGTGAAGAGATGGAAGAAGGTTATATTCAGTGTTCTCAGTTCTTGTACGGTAAGCTGTGACACTACTTTACAAACTTTTTTAGCTTTTCTAAAATTCATCCCTTCCTGTCTCTCTGGCCTGCATTAAACAAACATCTGCTTAGGCCCCAGATATGACAATACTGCCCATCCCCTCTTCTTTCAAAATGCTAAAAAAAAAAAAAAAAAAATAGTCTTTTGGTTATTATGTTGCTCATAGTCCTTCAGCTCTTTGAGATACTTCACAGGCTCCTTCTAAAGTTACAGAAGTTTAATTTGGCTTAATTTCAAGGAAATGCTTCCATGGGGAGGTTTTGACAGTAACAGTGAGTGTCAAGTATCTTGACAGAGACACTCCAACTTCCAGATGCACAAATTTCTAACAGATCACATGAAGAAACGTATACTTTATGAATAATCCACTTAGAGAATGGTTTTAGTTACTAAGATATATTTTTCAGGAAAAGTATCTTGATGGAGCAGACATTTTTAATTTACATCAGAGGATATAAGCTTCATTAAGGCTCTGTATACCTGACATTGTGCAGATTTTCAGAAGCTTTAAGTGTTACTGTATAAGGTCTGTTGTAAAAAAGCAGGCCTGTGAGAAATACACAGCAGTTCTATAAAGCTGCTTTGCTCAAACATTTGTAAAACTATTGTTATCCTCATTTGAATAAAAGATTGTAAAGTATCTATTGCATATGTAATAAAAGAGAAAAACCTCATGCTCTAAATTGGTTTAAAATATTCTGTAAAATTTGGTTTTATCATGCAGTTAAATTTCTGAAAGCATTTCATCATGGAAGTGTTGAAAATGTTAATATTTTATTAATAAGAGACTAATATTTGGGCCACTGTGTCCACACTAAAAATCTCAGAGGGAAAAATAGGATATGTTACCATCTAGTGTGTTCTCTAATTTGTTGTTAACAGGAGTGCAAGAGAAGTTGGGAGTGATGAATAAAGGAGTGGTATACGCTCTGTGGGATTATGAAGCTCAGAATAATGACGAGTTGTCATTCCACGAGGGTGATGCCATTACTATTCTAAGACGCAAGGATGACAATGAAACAGAGTGGTGGTGGGCCCGCCTCAATGACAAAGAAGGCTATGTGCCTAAAAATCTTCTTGGGGTAAGTTCTGCTTAAGTTACCTTTTCCCTTCTATTTTTTACTTCCTCTGGAAGTAGGAACACAAGATGGATCTTTGGTCAGAATCCCTCTGTGCATCATCTGCATACACTGCTACGAAGTGCTGCAAAGCATACTATCCTTATTCTCTCTGGCCTCTGTGTCATTGTAAACAAAAAGTAGAGGCTATGGTTAGGAGATTAGTGCTGGTTCTTATTTCGCAAGTTAGTATATTTAATATATTTTATGCTTTTATGCTTTCGTAAGATTTTTTTTTTTTTTTTCCCCTTGGCTGAAACATAGGGCCCCTATGTAAAGTGTGGTGGCTCTATTAGGCAGCTCTAAGCTTTGGCTGAGGAAGTTCTTTCGGAAGGTTTTTAATACCTGGCACAAGATAGGCAATATATAGTTATGTACAAATTTAAAACAGGAAAGAGCCTTGAAGATGACAACTTTAGGCAAGTCGTCGTGGCCTCCTGCTGCTCCTGGTTTTATTTTTCACAAGTTACCTAAGAACATGCTGTAGCTCACAAAAACCTCACCCCACCCCCCAAAACACTTCATCACCCAGTTCTTGTTAGTAAGTACTCCTTGGTTATAATGGAATTGCTTTACACTTAACTTGGTATCAACAATACAAAGCCTAATATTTTTATTCTGTTTTTACAGTTATATCCACGAATAAAACCTAGACAGCGAACCCTGGCATGAGTTCAGTTGCACCATAGTGCAATACCGTGCTGGTAACTGGAAACTTAAAACATACACTGGAGCCATCATTTTGATCATTTCACACAGAGAAAAAAAAAACTATGATATTTAGTTTTAATGGTGCTTTCTCTTGTTAAATGGACAGCATCCAAGGTTTTCAAGATCTGCAGTTTGTAAATGAGGATCGTTTTTATGTGACCCACCACTGATGAGGAGAGCGATACCTCCACTACCTAGTGTTGCGCCAACTATCGTCTAAAGCAGTGTTTTACGTTGAAGTTCCGTGGTAGGAGCTTTCTTGTGTTAAATGTTCAGAGGTGTCGTTTGCAGAGTGCAGATACGCTGTCCAGTTTGCTCCAACCCCACAGTAACTGTCCCACATCAGGATTTTGGATATTTTGTTCGATACCAGTGAATGTTGAGTTCTCATTACTGATCAGCTCTTTGGGTTTTAGGACACAAGATCTTCACCCATTACATGCATAATTAAGTAGTCACCAAAGCTTTATGAAGGCTAGGATTTTAAGTGGTAACATGCTATACACTTAAATCCTAGTCTAGACAACCCCAACAAAAGCTTTACATAGTCTAGCATCTAGTATTATTTGCATTTAGAATCAAGCTAGAGGACTAACAGAACAGCAGTATTTGTACACTTCTCGAAACCCCTACACAGTATTTCACTTGGTGTTTATTTTTTTATTATTCAGCCTACAGCACCAGTGTTACCTCTACTAATGTAAAGGTTTCCCTACTAACCACCTGAGCTTGGCCATCCTGGACAAAACAGTTAGTACCGAACTTGCAGCAGCTTAAGGGATTTGTACGTCTGCATGGATGAAAGTGCAATAGTTGAAAAGGGTCCGAGTCCGGTAAGGGTTATACTGTGTAATTTGAAGTCTGCCTGAGTCAGTCTAGAAGAAAATATGAAGGACTGGATAGAAGTAGAAAAAGGGCTGTGTAGATGCTAAGTCAAGGAGAAGAAAGAAACAAGGTTCAGAGAAGGATTTAAGAAAGACAATAGCTTATTTGAGGACAGTTTCTGTGGTTCTTGGCAGCCTACATCTGTTGCCAAGGCAAGTAAGTTATGCAATAACCTATTCCACTACATTGTAGTTTCGGGTTTGTGGTTGTGGGTGGGGGGGGGGGGGGGGGGGGAAAGGGGAAGGCACTTCACTGGAATTTTAATTGTACATGATTTTATATACCAAAAGTATATTTTGAATTTCCCATTATAAGTTTTAGCCATATTTCTTGTAATTTTCTCCCATTTAACAGTATGCAATTTGATTAAGTCTTCATGTACAAGTTCTGTGTATAATTTATATATCCATTTCTGCAGTGCTGTAACTTGCTTTTACCACAGGTTAGCATTAACTGTATATATTGTGGTGAAAAGTGAAAGGGTATTATTGTTGAAGAATTTGCTACATGAATGTGATGATTTCAAGAGCCTATGATACACTAATTCAGAGAACATGTAAATGTGCACAATAAAGTACTGCTAAGGCATGGTTGCATTCTCCAGTATTTTTATATAGGTAGCTAAAGTAGGCGTGCCTTTGGTCATAGTCTACAAAAAAAGAATAATTCTAGCTTGCCGTGTTCTATCTGTTAACTCAAGTTCCCTCACTGTTTTACCAGTTGCACAGAAAATGACTTGCCAAACAATTTTGGAACCTCCTTACACTAGTACTGCAGAATTCCAACTGCAACAAATTAATACTTGTCTAGAAAAGCTCTCAAGGGTCCTCTACGCACAAGCTGACAACTGAGCCTTGTGTGCTTGTTTACGCAATTTTCACCACGATTCATCCCAATAGTTGAACCAATTATCAACACTTAGAACTAAAATTAGGGTGCTGTTCATAAAAAGTCAAAAGTTTCAGAGTTCAGAGAGTAGAAACCACAGTATCCATCATTAAAGAAGTTATATACTGTGAAATTAAGTATCACCTTTTTTTTTAAATAAGTGAATTAATTTATTCATATTTGTACATTAAATTGTATACAATTTCAGATAGCATTACAGTTAGATTAACAAAAGCTAGTTACCAAAAAGAAAATACGAAATTAAAAATTATTCTGGAAGCTTATTTATTACAGAAGGAAAGTTTCAAGGTCATGTTCATGTAAGTCCAGTTTGGTGCTATTTGGCAAAATATTTATATGTTTAAAATGAAATGCTTTGTAAAAAAAAAAAATCAAGTGACTTCTATAAAATCATATCTAAGGCAGATTTTATTGTACATTGATTTTAAACATTTGGATAGAGGAAAAAACCTGAGATCTATACCCAAAAGCTATTCTCTGCAGAAGAGACATACACATTTGTTTGCTTTTTGTAGCAAACAGTATATATAATTGTTACTATAAAAGTTGTGCTGTACATTAGCTGTAGTGCAGGTCACTTCAATATTAAGTGCCAATAAAGGCTTAACAAAATATACAAAGTCTTAAAAGGTGAGGCTGCTTAAAGCATTAATTGTATACATATTGCACACTATAGTGAATACTCATGGTTCAAAAAAATACTCACATTGCATTTGCCAGTTCTTACATAATGAACCACACTGGAATGAGAAAGGGTCAAGAACAGCAAATGTTACCAGCTGTCAAATTAGCAAAAAGCAAGAGGCAGGTTCATGGAGGCTGGTGTGTCTTCCCTCAAGCAGCCAACAGGCTGCTGTTCTTACTGGTCCCGGGACTCATAAAAAAGTTTTGTTGCCTAACATGAAGAAAAAAATGTCATTGTGTTAACTCAAGTTTCACTTGCAGCCACCTAATCTCCCTCCTACCCCTCCAGAAATTTCCTTGAAATGCAAGGCTTTAAGTTCTTCCTCTGCTATTTTCCTTAGTCTAAGGCATTTAATAGCATTCAGTAAGTTTTGGAACTATTCAAGGTTACTTTAAGTGCAGAACCTGAGGTCACTGAAGGTTTTAGATCAACTTAACATTTGTTTCTTCTTGGTCAGAAATTATCATTTCTGATCAAAACTGCCTTTGAAACAGAAGTATTTCTGAGATGTTGGTAATCTGTCCAAACATATGCAGTAAACAATGCAATTCTGTTCTATATTCCTCCTCCCTCTTCTGCTTCCCCCTTGCAAAGTTTTGGCGAGGTGTTCCATTTGTCTCAAACTATAGTACCCACCAACGCCCTGCGATGGGAACAGAGGTGCGTTCTCTAGCAACAAGTCCTTCTATGTGCTGTTAACTAGCACCTCTGAAAGTCTCACTGCACCCATCAGTTACTCAAAACTGTTCAAGGCGACAAATCAGTAGGGGGAGGGCGTTAAGCTTATTCATAAAACACTGGTTGCATCGCTTGTGCAAGATGAGTTAGAACAGGCATAAATAAGGAAGTGCTAAGCGGTACTGGTGCGGCAGTACAAAGTTTGGGTGTGCTGTGCTGGGCACAGGTTCAATGCTGGGGTTAGGGGTGGCTGGGGAGCTTGACGGTGGTGAAGAAGCGAACAGCCACACACTTGCCTTTGCAGACAGCTTATAAATTACAGTTCTAATTATCAATCAGATGAACAAAAGTTCCAGAACTAGTTGGGATGGTTTTGGGTTTTGCCTCCTCTAACTTTGACTTATGAAATAATAAACTTCAGTTTCATTAGCCGTACAGTGCCTAACAACAAAAGATGAAACAGTCTTCCAGAGAGTCCTGCCCCCACCCTGTTCCTGTTTTCAAAAATCAACAACTTCTTTAAACCTTCATAAAGTAGTAAAAACAATTAGCTGAGTTTAGGTTCAAAAGAGTATTTCATAATGCATATTCTTCAGTGAGTAACAAAAACCTAAGGAAGTTGAAAGTCTAATTCCTACTTCTTTCACCTAACGCCATACATAAGGTCTTGGGCAACCCTTTGTAGTGCGTATCTTCTTCAGGTATCTGAGCATAAAGCTGAAGTCATGTTCATAACAACCACCCATAGCTTCTGTTTTCTTAAGCAACAAGGCCCTAACATCCTGAAATAAAAAATAATAATAAAAAGAAAGCAAGCCTCCTAAGGCTGCAGACTCTATTAATAAAGTGCTACTAAGCACCCCGTGTTACAATTTTCTAAGTTTTGTAATTTCTCTAAGTTTTGCCTCCTTTGCTTACCTTATGCATAGCTGCCAGCCAGCTTGCTGACAGTTTCTTGTTACAGCTGAAGTCTTCACTGGCTGTAAATTTCATCTGCGTTAGCTCCTCTGATCCTGGTACCTTATACTGCAGAATCATACCTATGGCACGAGTACTACCTCCTGAAAAAAGAAAGAAAATCTTGAACAGCAACAGCTTTCACCAACTAACACAACTACTTCTAGCTAATAAGCATGTTTGAAGAAAACAATCCCATCACTTAATTCAAAGCACTAGCAACTGCAGGCGCACTAACAACTGCCGCATCAGAGGGGGTAGGGACCACGGGTGTTAATGCCAGGCGATGGAATGTGCAGGCTCAATACTGTTTCATTCTCTGTGGCAATCATGGAGGCAGAACTTGTATCAGCCATCAGGTAAAGCCACTAGCTACACACGCGAAGAACCCCCTCATTACCGTGTCTTCGCTTAAGTAGGTGCCATATGGCATACTGGAGCCTGCAGTTTGTAAACGGAATTACTAGTGTGCAGTTAGGCTGGTATCAAACGGGATCCTCGCTTCATCCAAAGTCTGGCATAGCAGTCAAAAGTCCCTCCAAATCTGGCAAAGGGTGGAGGGGGGGGAAAGATGCTTATGCAAGACTAGATGATGACTGGCAGCGTCATTTACTTCCCGAGGGAAATCCGCTACAAAAGACATTGCTCTGACAACAGTGCAATAGCGAGATGCTTGTATCTCTTTTAGTCTAGCTGCATAGAGATGAAAGTAAACCAAAGGAAAAACACAGACATGAAACAAAAGCTGTGTTTAGAATAGCACACTGATGCTTTACATAGACTTTATTGGCATCGCTCATTTCCTGAAGTAGTAGAGCATAAACTAAGCCCCAGGAACAGCTGCACCACACAGAGAAGGACACTTTTTGCAAACTGTCTGCATGAGAGGGCTCCTGGAGGCCATTACTGCAATATCCAAGAAGCCAAAGACAGACAATCTTGGTCTAAGCAACCTGATCAAAAGCCCACAAACTGTTTATAAAGTAGCTATGATCTCCTCTTCCAGGATAAACTGATATCCAACTTCATCTCGCGCTCCCCTGCATCTGCCTGGTCAGACTAACAGACTAAGGCCCTACTTGGAGATAAACCAGTGGAAATGAAACACCTACAGCCTTGAGCAGTTTTATTTATTCACATTGCCCACGTCTGGCATTCCAGGACATTACTGACTTGGGCAGAACACACCTTACACAACAAGACCTCATACTTATTTTAAAGAAGTGTAAAAGCCAGCCATTAGTTAACAATTTGTTTATTCAGTGCAAAACCTTACTGAACAGTGCACAAGAAGTATAGTATTAATTTCTGGTATACACAATTCGGCACAGCTCTGCTGAAGTAGGTGACGTGTAATACTACGTACCACTAAAGATATTTCTCATCTTCCCTCCTCTCTACTAGCACAGACAATAGCACATGTGGTCTAAAGAAGGCCTCGAATGTTTTAGTTCTCCTCCAAAAAGTTACAAAACATTCATTCTCAGTTAATTAAACAGACAGATGGGAAGGAAAAGATACACGTCAGACTTGAACATAACCTGTCTTAAGTTGAACAGCTATAAATTAAGCAAAAAACAGCACTGCAGAGGAAGAAAGATGGGAGGGGGGTCATGACAACATGCTTAGGTGCGTCATGCTCAAAGGTACTGGTGATACCTTCAGTAATATGCTGGCTCTCCAGAAGGCTGGTGTAAGTGTGAATATCTTTTTCTACCATCAAGAAGGCAGGCAGGCAAAAAGATAAAGCAGTCAGAAGAGTAGTGAACAAGGAATTACAGGAGCATTAAGTAACTCAGCAACACATCTGGTTGATTTGAATAACAAGATAAGTTTATTAAAGTTAACATGCTGTACTGACTGAATATTGCACAGATAAACTGCCTGATTAGAAAATTCTAGCAGTGACAGAGGTGTCGCTAAAGAACAATTATTAAAATTCCTGACCTTGTTTGTTCTCATTTCAGTGAAATCATATTCAAGTTCATCCTGAAATACTCTAAAATCTGGTAAGAGATGAGGCAGTTAAGTAGCTGCCCTCCGATTCAGATGTTACCAGTTCCATTTGGCCACCCCTTCATCTTGGATGACATTAAGAAAGCATAGTTTAATTATTTAATTCCCCCCCGCCCAGCTTCTCTCTCACTCTCCTCACAATTGTTTGCCCGAAAAGTCCCAGCTGGATTCTAAAATGGAAGCTACCAAAGACTTAACAGTTCCCTCCTATGAGCTTCTGAATCAACAGATGTTTATATTTAGCCAAGAGAGAGGATCAGAACAGATGATGACCACCTTTACTCAGGTTTATCAAGAGGCTCTCCCATATTAGAGCTTTCAGGTAATTTCTCAGTTCTTAGTTTTTCCCCCAAATCCCAGTAGCCACGCGGACAGGGTTCCACACACTGCACTGTATTCTGACAGCAGTTGTAACTAACATAGTTACACCTAAGTTACCAGTAACCTAGAAATGCACTGTCTAGCTCAAACAGTAATTACAGCTTCACATATTTTTTTCTTAATAGTTAATTCGTATTCAATGAAAAAATTTACCTCCAGGAGTAAATCCCTCTGTAAGTATCTGAACAGTTGAAATCTGTATAATTTCAATTTCATAGTGGCTGTCACCATCCAAAACCAGGTATCTACATAACAGAAGAAAAACTTTTTTTTAAAAAAAGGGTTTTTTCCTACAATATCAAGTCCATGTCAAAGGAAAAAACAAACACAATCTCTCAGTGACTGGCTGTTTATATGTTCTTTGTGGTGGGGAGGGAGAGAAATCAAGCAGGAAAAATTACTTTTCACTGAAGTTCTTCACTTAAAGGAAAAAAAAAAAAAAACCAACCCCCACCACAAAACCTACAGTTCAGTTTGCCAGAAGACCCTTTCAAAATATTAAAAGCATTCTTCCAAAGTTCTGGGGGAAGAAGAGAAGACAGAGTCTAAAGTGTTCTAGCCAACCAAATTATAGGGATGACCAAAGTAATGCTTTGGCTGTAATGTTAAACAATACGGTGGCAGCATTAGAATCATTCTGAAACAGGCTTTTTTCAGTGGCTGCAGATTTTTCCCTGCCCCCCCTTCCTGTGATCCCCCTATTAGCTGGCAAAAACACTGTATTCCAGTGGCACTGAGAGCCATCATCAGTGAGCAGAGCTCCACCATTCTAGGGCATTCTGATCCACACTGCCAGTAAATTCAAACCAACTTACTCCAATACAGTTGTACCTGTCCTTTCAGTACGACGACTCTCTCACAGCATGTTACTCTCAAAATTTTGTTTAGGTTATGAGATAATAATATAGCTCTAAGTGCAACAATAATATAGTTTACAAGTGCAATTTCTATCAATCTTTCTCACCTCTGATTGTTGGAAAGTCGACAAACCATGAGCTCAGATTTATCAGATGTTCCCAGAGTTACAAAGAATGTAGCACCTGGAAAGAAATGCTTTAGTGTTCTAATACAGAGTTTAGGAAGGAACATTCAAGTAGCAAAAATGGTAACTAATTTTTACTTACTGCACCTAATACACTGAATTGGGTGAATTAAGAGACTAATTGAAGTGTTAAACTGATTAACATCAGCAGAACACTCAAGTATAAAAAGCTGATCTTTATTTATCACATTCTGATTCACAGGACCTTTCACAATTGCTATGTAATTTCTCCCACATGTTGCAGAAATACAACTGATATCTAAGATGAATCTTTTAAAAATGAGAACAGATTTGGAGATAGCAAAAATAGGCAATTAAAGACCCTATCTTGTCACCATAATGCACACTATTGTTTCGGTATTCCAGGAAAAAAAAAACAAAACCCAAACCTGTCAGAAGAATCTAATAGCAGGATGTGACAACCTTCAGCTCTATGCTTAATAAATAGTAAAGACACCTGGTTTTCATTAGTGAAGGCTAGCTCAGTCTTACTTTGAGGTCAATGAACTTCAGCCTTCGTGTTCTGTTTCCTCCTGCTCAAAACAGCTCCTTTGACATCAGGAAAGTCATCTTAGCTACATTAGTGAAGTGATTCATAACTTAAACTAAAGCAGACTACACGCCTAACCACTTTATTTCCTCCACGCCTCACGCTCCCTGTATTACCTAATCCCAATACTGTTGGCCTGAGAAATGAAAAAAATAACAACATACAGCCCTGCCAAATGGTCTGCAATCTATCTCCATAATCTGAACCACGCGCCCTCAGTGAGCTTCACCTCGCTGTTTCCCAATGTTACGCAGTCTCCCTGACTCCTCAGCATGGACCCCCAGGCTGCTGCTGAAGCGAGACAGAGAGGCAACAGCAGCAAAACTGCAAAGGACATCAAGACCACCATCTCTCTGACTGACATCTGTGGCTCTGCAGTAAGTCAGGAACAACTTCAGACTTTAATTGTGCAACACAAATGCAAGCAGGACAAGCTTTTAAAAAAAATCTTCCGTTTCAAATGCATTATTTAAAACCTCATCTACACCTTCATCTGCCGAGCAGAGTGAAGAATCATTTGTGTGTTGGAGGGATGAGCATACTCCTTTCTGAACCTGGGATCTCCCTAGGAACACTCACACTAATCAGGCGTGTGGTTTAGCTCTCCGATTATACACATTGGTGTCGTGCCGAGAGTTCAGAGCCCGTCAAAAGGGCTCTCAATCACAGAGTATTTTCTGTGAACAGGAATCTAATCACAGAGTATTTTAAAAACTGAAGACTCAGCTTTCTTAATGTAATTGGAACACGAATTACTGGATTGCATGTAGTTTTAATGCTGTGCAGAATTGACCACTCATGATGATCTGCCATCAACCATAGCTGTAGGCCATAGACAAGATCAAAGCTCACAGATGAAGCTTGAAACAAGCACTGTATCTTGTCAGAAAATATTAAAATATTCTCTATTGTTAAGTATTTTTCATCCCTATTTAATGTAACAGGAATCTGGCTAAAAGATGCATTATTTTAAGAAAAATGCCAACTGCACACATAGCTGTTCTCAGAGGCATTAAAAATTCCTTTGTCTTTAATTAAATCACTCTTTACAAACATTGACTAAAAAGTGTAAACTTCTCTAAATAAATGGATAACAGAATTATTAACTGGCACGCAAGAAGCATGGCAACAAAGAAGTATTTAAAGGAGACAAAACTGCAGCTTGTTTGACAAGAGTCATTACTCTTGCTGTTTATCGCACTTGTTCAACCCTGCATTTGAATAAATATAAATGAGATCAAACCAGCATATATATGTAATCAGTCCTTACCATTCATGAGCACTTTAAGCTGTTTGTCATAAAACTCTGTTTCTTTCTGAGAGATGAGGGCACATTCAGCACACTGGCGCACGGGGTCCACAAAGCACATGCGAGGCAGAGGCACTTTTTTACTGCAGCACTTGTCACAGAAGCACTTTCCACATCTTCGACAGTGATGCTAAGCATGAGAGAACATTTCGTTTATTTATTTACACAGGAAACCATTAGGAAATAATTTGATAAAGTTACTACATTAAATATCCTCCTCCCCAAGGAACAGAACGGTGTCTCAGGTGTGAAACATCCAAGCTGAGGGATAGGTAAAGGAAATTTAACTGCTAGAGTGGTAGAAAGAAGTCTCTGGAGACTGAACGCCAAGGACGGAGTCTAGTATGAGCAACAGCACTGTAAGCCTTTGGTTGGCACTCTGTAAACATGCTTCTAAAGCAGACCAGACAAGACCCTGAAAGGGCTTCTCCAGCCTCCAGTAAATCCTTTACCTTACTGTCAATAAAATCACAAGAGAAGAGTGGTTTCTAGGTCCCTTCCCACTTCCAAGCAAAGATCTTGGGGAAACTTCAACTGCAGATGCTATTCTTCTCCCTTAAAACTTACTCTCAAGTTTTTCCCCGTGGAAACTTAAAACCTAAAGCTATTTCTCAATCAGAAATATCGGGCAGCATAGTACAAATCCAATGAAGTTGCAAAATCAGAACTAGCATTGCAACGCGTTTCACAGCTACTAAATCTGCAACAAGCGGCTTGTGCTCCAAATCACTGCTGGGGTGTGACAGTCCCAGCAAGTCTTCCGGATGCAAGTTCTCATGTCAGAACAAGTTCTCCCAGGCAAGCAGGAACCGATTTGTGGCTCAAAGCAAGCTTGAACAGTTTGATACAAGGAACTGATACACTGCAGTTTTGGTCAGTGTTTGCCTTTCCTTCCATATACTATGCAAAATTCTCTGGAGTACTTATTTCCCAGGGCTACCTCCATTTACTTCCCAAAGCTAACACAAGTAAAACACAGCAGCCTAATTAGTGCTTCTCCATCAAAATGCTCTAACCAACCAACAACCATGCTCTTAGCCCATCCGACTGAAGGGTAAAACAAGAACTAGGAGAAAGTACACTCCATGATTTAGGAGTATTAGGATCATTAAGTGGCATCCTAATGCTCTTCAGGCCTCATGACCATTTACACCTATCTGGTATAACATACTACTATGTCTGGTTTACAATTTCTCCTTCCCTCTCCCTCCAAACAATAAATTAAAAAACATCAACTATGTCAACGCACTACAAGTCACACTTCCACATCTTTCTTCACTTTCACAAGCACATGCTAAGACAATGTCAACGAGTTATACAAAACAATGATATTCCCTGCTAAAAATCATTGTTGGCCTTTTCTGGGAGGCTGCTTTCCTTCTCCATGCGCAAACCCCAATATCAGCAGAATGTTTTCCGATAGCAGTATTCTGTACACCAGCATGCATTCCACAGTGACCTGCTTACTTTTATGTAATGTACATAATTTAACTCTTATGTTAGTGTTTTCTCTTCATACAGCAAGCCTACTTATGGCTCACAGCAATCAAGGTTGTTAATACTTTCTACTTTAATCAGAAATTCCCTTTTCCAAACCCAAGATAAATCCTGTTTTATTTTTAGAACAGAAGGAGAACCCGAGTTTTGGTTCTCCACATTTTAACAATATGGTTCTTTAATGTAAGATCATAATTCATTACGCCTGAAAACATTTTCACTTACATTTCCACAACTAATTTTATCTCCCAAAACACAACCCAATTAGTTGGTTTGGTTTCTGTGTCAGTACTGATGTTAGCAGCCCACTCCAGCATGAGTTCCTATAACTCTTCCTTTGAATGTTAATCCTGTGGGTACCTGGTAATCTGGAAAAACCCTAACTATGTATTACATATTACACATTGAGCCACAAGAAGAATATAAAAGAAACAGAATTACAACAAAAAGGACCTCTACTTGGAAAAGGCAGAACAGACTTTAAATTACATCAGATTTTGCATGCTATTCGCCCAAAATCTTCTACATTTTAAATCAAGAGAAGTCCATATTAGTATTTTGCAACAGTTAATGTTTTACATTTCATTGATTTCTCTTACCTTTCTAGTTATGAAGTCAAATTTTGTATCACACTGCATACATCTTGGGCACTAGAAAATAGTACGAATTAAGATTAATCTACAAGATTTCTAAACCTTTAATCCTACTACCATATACAAAGACTGAGCTTTATATTATGCCCTAAAAAGAAACACCTCCAACAAATTTCCATCCTTTATCTTTTCACCATGGATGGTTTTCATTTATTTTAATATTGATGTAGCAAAATAATGTCATCCCCATTTGTAAGACAAAAAAAGCTGCCAAACTCATTCACCCTAAGGAATACTGCATCTTGCCAGCAGTCAAAACTACATTTCAGAATTACTCACCATACTTAGTTATGTTTGGCTATCCAGACAGTCATGTATTCCAGAGTCGACTGTTTTTATATAAGTTGTCATCCTCACTGTATTATACTGTGATGCTCTGTTGACTCTTTAAAACATTGTTTATGTATTTTAATTCTCTCAATACTTACACATTTTTGAAACGTGCTAGGAGACATTTGGTTTTCTTCCAAGCCACTAGGACTTAATTTTTATTCCAGCTACAAAATGTCACTTCCTGAAATATCTCTTCCCTAAAACAAGCTTATACCCACACTCCTCCCAAAAGAAAAGCCAGAAAAAAGTTGTAGAAGTTTCTCTCTCGCAACTAAATAGAGTTTAAAGGGCGAGTTTTGATTTTCTAAACTGGCAGAAGTGACCAGTTACAATTAGAATTTTCTATACAGAAGGTCATCTACCACAGGGCTGATACTCAGCACTTAGATCACTAGATTTTCACCCAGACTTTATGTATTTGTCTCCACCATATTGAAAACCACTCTCCAATTGCTTATAAAGCAATTTTGTCAGGTTTGCAAATATTAATGGAAAATTAGGCCTTGACATCTGAATCAGGAGAACATGGTTAGATCCTGTAGTAGGTTTTATAACTCTAGAAACCCAAACTCTTCAAACCAGACTCTCTCAGACTACAGCAGAATGTCATCTTAAAAGCATGCCCTAAGCTGAGCAGGTACAATTTGCTAAGCACACAGTAATCACCCTTTGCCTTTAATTAACACATTTAAATACTTAACCCTTTATCTTCTACAAATTCCTTCAGATCACAACAGCTTTTGCCATCTATTTCGGGAACTTTTGCTTCAGCAGATACCCAACCACTGTCACAAGTTCGGTAACTATAGCCAAGAAAATATTACAGCAGCTAAATTAAAAATTCACTAGAAACTTTTCATGTCCTTTTGAAGTACAAGATTGTTAATAATTTGCAACAGTTTATATGAAGTGTTCTGATGTCTAAACAGAAGTTTACCAAATTAGAGAGTAACTGCAGTCACTGTAGTGTAAGATAAATAGCTACTTGCAATATTTGTTACAATAAGCTACCTGTTTTACAATCCTACACAAAAGAGAACTAGAAGTGTTCCTGTAGTGTTTCAAATAGCGTACTGAATTAAGGCATCCAACCACCTCTTCTCATGCTGGCTGCAGAAAAGCTCATTCTAACATTCACTGATGAATAACCTTCCGCAGAAAGCAGCTTCGGTATTCCCCAGGTTTCATCTCTGTAACAAGTAGTACACTACAGCTAATACCACATTTTACTCTACACTGATCTTGAGTTAGTGTTTTATTTTTTGATATTCACAGCTTAATAGCTTGTCTGGGAGCAGGACCTTGCAAGAATTTTTGTATACTTTGAATTTACCAGGAGACCAACTAATTTTCTTAATGAAAACATGTTGGGGTTTTTTTTTGTCAGAAATTAGAAAGCACAAGCCACAAACTGGGGAAGAAAAAAACCCCACACTCTTCTAAATGCTGTCCTAAATAGATTTCATACACAATGTTACACTAAACATACAAGTTGCTTTTCAGGAAGGAACAAAGTTATCCATTCTCTCTTATTTAACACAAACTCTATACAAAAATATTTTTTAATTCTAAATCATGATAACACCGCCTGATACATAGAGCAGGCATAAATAAACCACAAGTCAAATGGCATTTAGTAGCATGCACCGCAGAATGGGATTTTCCTACAAAAATGTTCTAACACAAGTAGGCTCGATACGCTGTTCCTTCACGGCACTTCTGCTTTTAGGAACTGAAATCAAGTGAACCCGTTTGCCTAAACAACTTCCGCTTTGCCTGCGAAGAGATCGCTATTGCAAAACATCTTGAAAGGTGAATCCTTCCTATTCATCCATGTGCTGACATAATTAGAGAGTGCATGAGTACTGAATTAAGCTTTATAGCTATAAGGGTTTTTTAAAATCTCATTTACAGAGAAGAAAGCATAATGTTGCAGTTACTTTTCATGTCTTCAAGACACAGGCTTTTTAAAACTGCAAATCTGAGTTTTTGGAAAGTGGAAACAAAAAGATATGAAACAAGAAATTAAGTTAAAATGCATGTCATTAGTATACTCATTTCACACACAATCAACATACCGCTAATACTAGTATCAGATTACTTCATACAGTAAGAGGAAAATGGAAGAACATCCAACAGTTGTTGATCTTGTTATCAATTCAGAAATATTAAGACCTAGTTCATTACAAATAGAGTGGAACTTCTCATGCATTGCTGAAGTGCGATAATGAATTTGCATAATACTTTGGATCCAGCCAGAGGTGAGAATCCTGTAGATGGACAGGAAGCTATAGTTACACTTCATACGCTTTATTTGCATGTACAATAACAGAGTGATTCAAGAAGTGACGCAAGGTAACACCTGGTTAAGCTTGTTAACACACTGAACTTTTGCCAATGTGAAAGTTCACAAGCTCATCAAATCACACCTTGTAACACGCCCGACCAAACCAGCTGATGCCAGAGCGGAAAAACACCACAATGCAAACATACGGCACATACAGCTTACAATGCTTTCTGATATTACAACTGCACTGGGGCAATTCATCGCCCAGCTACACAACTTTGCCAGCAGTCCAAGCACGGCTCTGTCGCACAACCAGTGCCGACTCTGAGAGCCTGAGCCAACTACTCAAGAGGACCCAGCTACATAAAGCTCAGTTCCCTCCCGCAGTGACCCAGGAGCCCCAGAGAGTCACTGTCACCACATCTGTACGCTCCTCTCGCACGCATGCACGCAGTGCTCCTCAGCCGCAAAGATCCAGGACACAGCTGGATGTCACGAGGTTTGGCCACCTCTGCATTCGAACGTACAGATTTTACTCCATGTCTAGTCCCAAGATTTCCTTAATAGGATCATCATCAGTTGAGCTCTGCTGATGATTAACAAAGAAATTCTGGGTTAGGCAAGGCACGTGCAGTGACCAACATTTTACACTCTGTCTCAAGTTTAATAATGCTCAGCACAAATTTTCATAATATTATCCACCTCAACCCAATGTTTATACTATAAATAAGACTACCAAGAAGAAAGTTTTCTGCAGTCCTGCTTCAGCCTACACTTCAAACTCCTCAAAATAACTGATATTTTAAGACTGTATAATCTTGTGACTTAAAATTTAAAAATTGAAATATATTTCAATGTTACGCAAGTTTTGCAAAACTACTAACTGCCATTAATTTTTAGGTGGCTTTACTTCAAAAAAAAAAAAAAAAAAAAAAAAAAAGTAGACTCCTCCTGCGTAAGAAAATAAAGCTACTGAATTCGTGAGTGTTACTGGCCACACAGCAGAAGCCAGCTTATTTGAAAAGCCAGATCAATATTTGCTAATGTCAGTCTCTTGTCTTGGACAAAGAATACTTTTTTTTTAAATTATGTCCGACATGGTAACAAGAGCAGGTATTCATTAACTAGATAACACTGTCTCTTTAAGTTTCATTTTATTAATAAAAGCACGGGTTTTATAAGCTTCCCTGTATATTGTGTACCTGTTTTATTTAAGGAAAAAGTTTGTAATGTATTTGGTAATCATTAACCAAAGGGATGTCAGAACTTCAATACACTTTAAGAAATCTAGTAAAATAACTTTTTACAAAACAGCAGCAATGCAAGATTAAGAATAAACATTAACAAATGCATTTAAAATGTTTGCATATAATACACTTCCTCTCAATAGCAAGTATCACCGAGTCTGATGTAAAGGCAACATTCAGTCACAAATCAACGCCATCAGCCTACTGACCAACAGACTACAGGAGAAAAGTTGAATTTTAAGGAGAATGAATACCTGCAGTACGACTGTAAGACAGAATTCAAACTAACACCACGCATCAGACTGACGTATCTAAAATATACAAAGTTAATTCTTCAATATATCTACCTAGTTTAAATAAATCCTACCACAATCCTCAAACAACCTTTAGTGAAATTAAGATGGTACTATATATTAGACTGAGTCAGAAGTACCTTACTTTTTTTAAACGAACCGACGCAGCAAAAGCAGACTCCACGCAGCGCAAAGGGAAGCCACTTACACAATAACTGCTCAGACTTTGCTACGTGCTCCCTGATAAATACACACCCTAGCTGCAACACACCGCGCGCACCACACCACGTCCGGTGCCATCTGCGTGGGAACCCGGGGAGCTGAGCACCCATACCTTCGAATGACGCTCGGCTCCGGTCACTGGAAGTTTTGTCCTACCTACACTTCATAAAAGACAGATACCCAGTTGCTACTGATGACAGGGAGGATTTTTTTAATTCTCTAAGTATGGAAGAGAGTAACTTGAGAAAACTGCCACAAGACATTTTAGCAAACCGCTTGTTTAAAATAAGTTGAAAAAGTCACTTCCCAAAAAAGGATTGTTATTTTGGACAAAATCAACAACTGACTTACTAGTCATGCACCTTAAGACAGTAAAGGCTAGTCTGAGCTGCAGAAGCTGTGCTAGCAGAAACAGTTTCCAGAATTATTATTTTTACACAGAACTTTTTGCCTCGGGAGATACCAGGTAGGGGCAAAATTTTCTTCCTTGTTCCTAAGCAAGGAGAACACAGCGCTCCCATACCAAACAGACCAACCATGTCAGTATCTGGCAAAGAGAGGCTCTGCTTAATGACTCCCTGCTTAAATACATATTGGCTCATCCAAAATAA